ATCCTGCTTCGTGATACACGCCCCAGGTTAGGTGTAAGCCATAAATTACTGTAGAAAAACACCCTGCTTAAATGTGAGCTACAACTTGTAGTACCCAAAACTCAGAAGCCTCAAGTAAACTAGCAAAGCCAGTAAACATCTCAGTTAAAATAATCTGCAAACGAGTTGAGGGATAAAGATGTGTCCAGTAAGCACTTTAACTTCACAAAATTCAGGTTCGAGACAAACCGTTACATAAGAATATAAGAAATTTACAAACGAGAGGAGGCCATTCGGCCCATCAAGCTCGTTTGGGGAGAATTTAACTAATAGCTCAGAGTTGTTAAAATCTTATCTAGCTCTGATTTAAAGGAACCCAGGGTTTTAGCTACCGCTACACTAGCAGGAAGACTATTCCATACTCTAACTACACGCTGTGTATAGAAGTGCTTCCTCAAATTCGTTTTAAAATGTTCTCCCGCTAATTTCCACTTATGGCCACGAGTTCTAGTATTTAAACTAATATTAAAGTAGCCATTTGGCTGAACAGCATCCAGACCCGTTAGAATCTTATAGACTTGGATCATGCCCCCCCTTAGTCTCCTTTGCTCAAGGCTAAAGAGATTCAGCTCAGCTAACCTCTCCTCATAAAACATTCCTCTAAGACCAGGAATCATTCTCGTAGCCCTCCGTTGCACCTTTTCTAAGGCAGCAATGTCCTTCTTAAGGTATGGTGACCAAACCTGCACACAATATTCTAGGTGGGAGACCTGTTTATATGCATATGTGCAAAATAATTATTTCACCAAAAATGAATGAGCATAATAGTTTACGAAAATGTGAAAATACTACCATCTTATTCTGTATCCTCAATTCTAGGTTATATTATTATTTTAATCAGTGTAAGCAAAATAAACAGGAACAAAGTTTTCAGGGATAAAGATTTCAATGTATGAATAATCTCTACGTAAATCAGTCCCAACAGCATCCATGCCGATGGCCACTGTGGTCTGGTGCCTGGATACAGGTTACCTACGCCGTCTCCATAGCAACAGATCACAACTCCGTGCCAACAGACACCTCAGGTAATGAAAGCCAGCTGACCCCTGATTAGACTGCTCACCTAGTCAGAGGGGTTAATTCGGGTCAGTTGGATGGATCTGGGAAACTCGTGGGGGCTGGCTGTGATCCCGGGAGGGGTCAGAGGCTGTTGATTTTGCAGTTTTGTTATGTTTAGGAGCCATAATGTCTGTTACATTTAATCGAGTTAAATAAGGTAAATTGATTCTATTTAAACGGTATTGCTTGAAACCTGTTCCCTGCAAATGAACTGCTCTCTGACAGCTTCCTCTTTCTCTTCATTCTCATTTTATATAACCAACTACTTTAAAACGAGTACTGGTGGCTTAGTCGGAGATTAAGAAAGCATCCTGTCACCATCGACGGTGTGAGGCAGCAACATGTCTGATTACCGCGATGCTTCGATGTGTGTCTCTGATCACGCTGCTGCAATGTGGTTTTAGCACCACGCTCACATTCAAAGGCAGTTTTTCTAAAGTTATACATGCATTGCTTCCATTTCTGTGTGTGGACATTAATAAGCAGACAGAATGTTGCTTTTTTTCCAATTATCCTCCAGATTTTAGGCTGGAAAAGTGTTTTAGGGTTTAGATGCCGTGCTGAGCTCTCGACGCTTATTCGAGGGATCACGCATTGCAATTACTTTTTAATTTTATTTAAGCAGGACAAGCACCCGACATGACTAAGACATATGCTGTTACACATAATAAACGGCTGGAAGATAATACTGAAAATGTGTGCTTGGGGAAAAAAAGTGTGAATGCTAATTTGATTAACAAGATTAAGATGGAAATGTTCTCCTGTCTACAGTGTGAATGAGCTGGGAGCTTTTCGGAGGAAGGCCGCCCAAATGTTTATGCTAAATCAGACCGTATCATGTGCGCAAAAGGGGACATGGCCGACCGTGTGACCAGCTCCTCCCAAAGCACTTACTGCACCTTGTTAAACTGGCTGATGTAGTCCACCCCCCCTCCAAAGGGGCCCTCCAGCTTCTCCACCAGCACCGACATCTGGTGTAGTTGTGCGGAAAACTCCTTGTCGCTCTTGGCTCGCTGGCTCATCCATTTCTTCATGGTCTCCATGACCCGTAGCTCGGAGTCCTGGAGCCGCATGATTGCACTGTGGGCCTGAGGACACCAAAACTCCTTTCCGAACCCCATGCCGACTGCGAGGGGTACTGCGGGTCACACAGGAAGCTCCAGCTAACAGCAGTGCGAACTGACAAAACAAAAACAGCAAAATCAGCTAAACTATGACTCTACTTAACACTAGCGTGTTAACACATCATTTGACTGGACTAGAGACAAAACATAATTATAACCGTGCAGCTCCTATTTTGAACCAAGTGGCATTTTTTTAGACTTCAAGCATCTCTATTTACATCGGCAACGATATATGTAGTTCACAAACTCAAATAACTATGCGCCTTGGAGGATTGTATCGAGAAGTCTTTTGAGAGTGCAGGACTATGAAATGCAAGCAAAACCATCTCTTCTTGACTGCTTGTTAAACATTTGCATAGAATAATGCGTTACGCAGGACATAGTTAACATTTGTCCAGTTTTATTTGCGAAGCTGAACATTTATGGCGGGGGGTGGATTAAGTAAAGCACATTTCACAAGCCTCCGGGTGTGTAATCTCCGGAGCCCAGCGCACCGGTCTTTTTACTGACGGAACAATACGCCGTTCTGCTGTTACTGTGCGTAGCTGCATTTCTATGCTAGATATCTAGCAGCGCGTTAATATAACATCGTGTATTTATAGGCTAAAGCTGGGTAAAACGTGATTGAAACCGGCAGACAACTGAATGATAACAGAAAACCTGAAATTAATAGTCTAGGTTATATTCATATAACCCAATTCTGTATTATCACAATATCATGTGCAATTCACACATTAAGCCCGATACTGCACATTATGATTAACTCTGCCAAACTATCAGTCAAAAGGTCCGCAATCCATTGATCTATTGATAAAATGGCATTCACCAATCACTCTCCCTTATCATAACCACGCTCAATTTTTCGTAATCTATTTCAGATAAAAGCAGTTGAAAAAAATCCAAAGTGGTACGAATGGCAGAAGCTCCACTGCTTTCTGTTACCGGTAAATTCAACTTATTTTAATCTTCACGAAAGCCAACTTTTACATGATTACTAGTTGTACATAAAAACAGGGTTAGCAACTCTGTCGCGTATTTCGTTAGAGACAATCAAATGGAAAACGGGAAAGACAAAGGAATAGTGAAGATAAGTAACTCGAAAGCAAATTACGCGGGGTTTTATGTGACAACCAGGAAAACTCGGAATAGTGTAATATTTAATCCATCATTAAATTCAATTTTAAACGGACAAATTTGACGCCTTATCCACAATAATGACATTTTTTAAGATCATGCTAATTAAAGATCAAGTTTACTTCTACCAAAATCAGTTCACGTACATTTTAAGGATGATTGTGCCTGCTTTGTGCAGTAAACAAAGCAAGACGTAATTTTAAACGACACTGACAGCTATAAGAAATCGACACACGGTACTCACCTCAGTTACCTCTATAGTGTAAATTATCTTCTATTTCGGACGAACTTCTTCCAGATTTGCTTCCGGTCATGTCAAAATAACTGGAGAGCAATTAAGGTCTAGAACATATGGGGGAAATGCACAACATGCGTAATAAAAAAAAAAAAACTTGGTAAGCCAGTGCACTTACTGCCGCTGTGCACTAAGAACAGGAAGTGAAGTTTCAGCAGGGTGTGTAGGTCCTCGGCTGGGAAATGCCACTGGAGCACAATTTCATGTAGTAATGAGGAAATAGTAAAACATTTTGGTCCCAAATGAACATCGGGGAAGTAAAACTGAAAATCAAAAACACTTTAAGGCTTTTGGAGACACCGATATTACATAATATTGGTTTAGATCTACCTAGGGGGTGGTTTCATCCGGGACATCCGCACGCTCGGCTCCATCCCAAATTTCTTCCCGAACCTGTTTGCGATCAATAATCATTTGCGTCACTCTAGGGCGGCACAGTATCGGTGTGATTGATCCGCAGTAAAATGCTTGGGTTTCAAATTAAGTTTATTATTTATGATAATTCCTATGTATGAACTTTTAAAACCATTTATGCCACTGGACATTTACAGAAGACCTAAATAAATGAAAAACGAGCACCTCATACCCCAGGATATAGCAGTAGAACCCCAAATTAGGTTTTAAACTTACAAACAAGATGTTTTCAGGTTCCTAACCAGATATCCAGGCTGGTACATATCTTACAGCTCATTTTTATAAATCGGAGGTTGGGTATAATGGAATCTGGAGTAAAATCAGATAGAGGTACTGGGAATAGAATATATAGGCCTAAATTTTACGATGATATTTCCCCTTTGATCTTATATTTCGGTTCGATTAAAGGGGCGGATAATATAAACTTTTTTAATATATAGGGCCAAAAATAGAGGTGGTAAAAAACGACCGAACGAACTACCTACAAATGACAGAATTAAAATTAATCGATGACTGATATAAGTCGAACTGTTGGTGTTAGGGTCGTTTTGAAATCTGCAGTGTGCAGATGCCATCTCTATAACGGATACCAACTTAAAATTTATATTTACAAACCAGTCCGATTAGTTGGTCGAGAATTACAAAATGTGTTTACCTAGTACAAGGACGAGCTCACCTCACTGGACTGAAAATCGCCGTCTGAAGCGCATATGTATACATATATGTGGTACAGCACAGAAAGGTTTAGTAAGACTTTCAATTCCCGCTTCTGGGGCGCACTATTGCGGTACGTCGCTTTCTGTTTGTTAAGTTCCATGCAATACTTTGTCGGCGCTAGCAACACAGCCACTTCAACTCGAATATCAGGTCTGTCAAAACATTTCCAGCGGTCCCTTACAACAAAAGACACGTTTGAACAATTGAAGAGAAACATATAGGTTTGCATAGATTTTATTTATTTTTTTGTGTATAATCTATTTAATCTGCATATTGACATCAATTAAATAAAATGGGAAAATTAAAGACAAGCAAAATAATTTTTAAATTACAAGACTGAATGCACTACACACATCTATGTGTGTACAATTAGATATAAAGATAGGGAAAAGGGAACACCAGAAAAAGGAAGAGTGTACAAAAATAGGCATTTAGGATTTTCTCCATCTCAGGCATTCATCCATAAATTGTATCGACTACAGCTCTTTACTGCAGAGGTACAGATTACCAAAAGGCTATCGACCTTGCCATTTAAGACCGAGGTCAGCCGAATTACAATGGGTGGACATCCAGAGTGCCACAGAGCCCCTGACGCAACCGCCTCTGTCATCCAGAGATTTTCAGCTATTCAAATGCGAAGTTTGCAGCACAGACCTTGCTGAACACACACCCGGCGCACTGATAATCAGGGATGGCGCCTCGCGGAACGTTTCAACATGTCCCTGAACCGGGGAATGAGGACAGACATCAACGAATCGGAGGTCAGTATCATACAGTCTGATCAACATGTACACCAAGGGTCACTGGTATCGGAATGAGCCAGCAAGGGACCCAGAAGCTCAACCGGGTCTCCATTACCACCAGCGTCTCCAAACTATCGAGTCTGTTCAGAAACTATAACATGGGGCTCGATTCTGCCAAATTAATGTCTTCGCTAATTCCCCCGTGCCATACTGTATGCTACTAGCAATCACTATTAAGTTCTGCTGCTGCAACGGAGGCAGCCTGTAGAGGGCGCCTCCTCACTCGCAGCTGCAGTGTGTCGAACTAAAAGTTTAAAGTTTATTACCTAACTGTTGCTTTAAATTAACTATTTAAACAGCACGTAATCCTATAAAAGTATGCAGTTCAGCAATCTGGTACAATGGTCCAGTTCTGTTTAGATAAAGTTCCTAACCAGCTTTGGCAATGATACATGTCGTACCCACACAAAGACAAATCTGTCTTAGTGAAGGCAAATATTGCTTGAATTGTACAAGTTCTGGTATGAACTGGAGCTGGACTTCATGATGGGAAACATTTAGCAGTGAAACATTCCTGGTGAATAGCACATTCAGGTGATGTCTACGGCTATATTTAGGTCCGTGTTTGATTGCACAAGACTGACAGAGGGGCAGCTCATTCCCGAAATCACCCACCCCCAAAAACATTGCATACCATAAATCAACTCATTTAAATAATAATCATAAACCTCAGCTCATGGTGAAGATGACATGATGCATAGACAATTCACTACATGAAGCATTAAAGACAGCAGGAAGATAAGACACCATCTTCAGCAACCCAGCAGAACGGACTGTTTCTAGAAAAAAAAACTCTTCAGACCAGAACAGGTTTTCATTCATCGTTCACATCTGTTTTCCCCAAAGGCTTAACATTATGGGCTCATCCACTGCAGCAGCTCCGTAGGTCCTAAAAAAAAAAAAAGAAGTATTGCACACAAAAGGTCTCTCAGCATCTTGTCGGAGATGCATGGCTGTCAGAATAGAGCTGACAGTGTTCATCTACTAGGGACGGGGTGGAGGGGAAACGACCAATTCATCTTCTGAGAAAAATGACCAAAGAAGATTGTAGGCAGATGATTGAAACAGGAAGCAAAACAGTGACATGCATCTCAGAAAGAAAGAAACCACAGTGCCCATCTATAGATATTCAAATGAAGTTTGCTGTAGTGTTCTGGTCAATGTCACAAAAAAAAAAAAAAAAAAAAAACACTCCACCACAAACCTCAGAGTGAACACTTCAGATTCAGGAAATGAATGCAAGTGAATTTCAGCAACCCTGGGCACCCAATGTAGCCACACTACTCGCCCCGTACAACAGGAAACCAAATCTGCTGCATCTGCCATCCCAGATGCTGCTTTGGGATATCTGGCAGAAGCTGGGACCCTCCGCTCCATCTAACCACTAGCAGACCCTCCTGGGCCACTCAGCCACTGAGGGACCCTTAAAAGGAAGAATCAGTTTGGTTCAGGCATTCCTCAACCAGTATCTGGAGGAGGGAGAAAATTACAAAAGCAATGGCACCGCGGTGGGATCTTATGAAGCCGCCCTGGGCAGCAGCAAACCACTGGTGCCAACAGCCTAACAGGCAAGTTCAAGAAGGTTCCCAGAGGCCTGATGGAGGTTTGGTGGATCAAAGGCTTGTTTAACATACAAGGGATGGATTAAGGTTTTATCGGCTAGACTGAATGGGATGTATCACAAGCCCTGCCCTCTGAGAATCACACCTCTTACAAGGCATCTGTCCTAAACCTGATGCGAAAAATAATGGTTGGCCATGAGTTGGAGAGTCTCCATATTATTACTGGACTTCTGTCCCACAAGGACAAAGACCAAGGGGAATAAGGAACGAGACCCTGAGACGTGGAATTCCTGTCCAACCATTAGCATGGGCTACAGATCAGCTCAGAGTATGACGGCCAGGCGAGCTGGGGGATCACAGAGGGGAGCAGGAGGACGGAAGGAAAAAGGGGAGCCTTTTCCATCACACCATGTGGGGGGGATGAATGAGAGCCACCCAGCAGATGACAGAGACAGGAGGAAAATGGGTGGGGCAGTGGTGGGGACACAGAAGGCAGCAGAGACATTGCAGGAGGGGGTATCAAGAGGCAAGAGGGGGTTAAAGAGCACTTTGTGTTTTGATAAAGGCAGTCCTCTCGCTGTGACTGTCAAACTCATCATTCTCAGACTCCGAGAGGCCATCCTCCTCCCTCCACATGGATGGGATTCCCTTGTAAGACACCATCCGGCCCCTTCCCAGGCCAAAACCCACCCGGACACCGGCCCCGTTCTCCATCATGTGGTGGAGTTTCCCCGGACCGCTGGAGCGAAGCTGCAGTACAGCGAAGATGCCCACGAATGCGGCGACGATAAAGGTGCAGCTGAGCACGGCTGCGACCGCGGGCAGGCTGGAGGACAGCCCCGGCTCGGCAAGGCCCCTGCTGTTGGGGAGTCTCTCCAGGACACCCGGAGACTCGCGCTGTATCTGGTTCTGGTGCAGGCAGCTGCCAAAGCTGGGGTCCAGGTGGCTGTGCGGCGGGCAGGAGAGACAGTCAGTGTGGTGGGGGCCGCTGCAGGTCAGGCAGGACGCGTGGCAGGGTAGGCAGGCCTGGACAGAGTGCGGCTCCACGTTGTTGTCCAGGGTAAAGTCCAGGGTCTGGGCAGCAGCGGTGAAGCCGGGAGGGCAGGCCGTCACGCAGGTCTCCCTGAAGAGGATGTAGCCTGGACGACACTCTGAAGAGAAACAAACACGGGGGGGGAAAGGGTCTGTGAGCATGACGCGCAGAGGCCAGGAGAAGCAGTGAGCAGAATGACCACAGAATCCTGCAATCACTAAATTTACAAGGGCCTCAGCTCATGTTCGGGGGCAGGTTTTACAGATTAAGCACTGTGTTTAATCAGGAAGGGGCCTTTCTGGGACCTGAACCAGCAACCTTCTGAGTTTACACTAAATCTAAGCCTCCCAAAATCTGGAACATCTAGTTAGCTTTACTTATTTTTGCAGTTGCTAAATCGCTCTCCTTCATTCTCTCCTCCCCCATTCCTTTATCCCCCAAAGCCCTTCTCCTCCTGGACCTCTCCTCTTTCCCTGCCTCGCAGCCAGAGGGGGCTTCTGATGTCGGCCTCCATTGCAGCTAAGCTGCCTTTAGCCCCCTGCTGGAAACCTCTGGACCTTGCAATTGTGTCCGTCTGGAAGTCCACTTTCTACACTCGTATTTCTGAAGTTGCTTGTATCCCAGATTAACAAATTATTTGCCTTACAACTATTCAAAGATGGCTTCACGCCTCAGAGTGGGTTAAGATTTGGTAGGGTTGGGTTTTTTCCCTCCCCTCCCCTCCGCTCCGCTCTCCCTCTGCGTTTGCCCCTGGGAGGGGTGCGCTGGTCGTCTCTGCCACTAACGACTTTGCTTCTCTTGGTCTGTCTCAGGATGGAGGGAGGAGAAGGGGGGGGTGGGCATTGGGGGGGCGGGAGGCTGTTTTTCTACATGGAAAATTTTTGCTCGTTTCATTCCTGAGGTTTTTCCTTTAATAATTTGAGCATAAAAATACTACAGTGAAGTTCACCATCTACACGGAGGGGGGGGGGGGTACTGGGTAAATTCTTAACTCAACCATATTTAAGCATGTTAAGAATGGGTGGGAGTCACTCAAGTCTATAGATGCTCTCTGGGTTAAAATGCGGTTACGTTCCGATCAACCTATCGTAAGGTGAAGATGCATTTTAATACCATACTCCTAACTTAAAACATCAAAACCTAACCTAGCCTACCTTAAATATACTTGGACCATGTACATTACCCTACAGTTCGGCAGAATCGTCAACAAAGCCTATTTTACAATAGTGTTGAATATCTCATGTAATTTATTGAATAACCATTGTAAAGTTGAACTATGGTAACCTGGGGAGCGTCTATATTAGCGTCTTGATGGAGGACATGAAGGTATGAAGGAGAGACAGGGACACCCACAGCTCAAATGTGAAGTTTGCAGCACAGAACTTGCTGAAAACACACCCGGTGCACTGATAATCAGGGATGGCGCCTCGCGGAACGTTTCAACATGTCCCTGAACCGGGGAATGACATCAAGGAATCGGAGGTCAGTATCATACGGTCTGATAGACAGCGGAGTCAGGCGTGGTGTGGGACGTTTCATTGCGCGCCGGGAGACGGGCATCGTTAAGAGCAGGCGGCCACCATGAAGCTCAGCCTGATCTTGGCCACTTGTTATGAGCTCCGGCTCCATGACACATGCCGCAGGGGGCGTGACAGACTCTGCAGGGATTTCTAGAGATGAAAGAGGTGGATGCTAATGCACTGGAAGGAGAGATTCACGGGGCCCTTCTAAGATCATTAGAACAGAATTAAAAGATCTGGAAAATTCTCTACCGCCCAGCAGCCTATTAGGTACCTCTCCTCCCCGCCATGCTGTTCAGAAACACCCACCCCCCCCCCTCTTAGCCCTGGTCAGCAGGCTAGACAGCATCTGCTGTGCCCAGCTCGTGCCCTGTTAATGACGAGGGTGGACAGACCGGGCAGAGCAGGACTGGCGGGCACAGCGAGGTGGCAGGGAGGTGGGGAGAGCCAGTTGTCGACGTGCCACTCAGCTCCCAGCTTGATGGTGGTGGACCAGAGAGCCTGCCACAGCTTCAAGCCCAGATCTTTACCGCAGCGGTCTCTGAGCAACGATTTCGCTGACATCACAGGGGATACTCACCAATACACATCTGATCAGCATCAAAGGTCTTGCAGCTGTGATTCACGGGCTGGCTGACGTCCAGTCCAGAGAGGTCAGTGGAGTCCGGGTCAGTGCCATAAAGGACGAGCGTGAACTGTGTTAGTGTCCCTGCGGGACCCGGGACAGAGAACACAGTCACTTAGCGGCTGGGGGCGGGGGCCCAGTTATTTAAAGGCTTAAGGTGGAGTCAAATCTAATTAGGAGATCTCATTCCTTCGGAGGAGAAACTCCCCAAAGGACAAAAGTCATTGCATCAAGGAAAATACAAGGTTAGTATTGACGACGGCACTTCAGGACGTCCATTACGGGAGAGCACCGTCCTACCCAGGAGGAGTGAGCTCATTTGCTGCCCGTGATTACAAGAGCGAGAAGGTTTAGCGAAGGACATCGCAACGTTTCAAGTAAAATGGGTCACTCTGCCTCGCTCCGCAGTGTCTAACGGAACGGGGTAAGAATGGTGAGTTGTGTAGCACGCCACAAACGCGGCCTGCACGACTCCCCCAGATTTACTGCTGTGGCAGTGGCGGAGTCCTGACAGGGGCCGGGTCTAGAGCCCCTTGCTCCTTCTTGATTTACTTCAGGAAATTTAATTCACTTGATTTACAAGCTGGTATAAAGGCCACACCAACTGGGCCGCGTCCGGTCATAAAAGGGAACAAAGGAGCATCGGGGACGACCCGTTTCTGTGGCTCGTTACGGCAGTCCTGCTTAGAGGCGTGAAGCACCAGCAGTCACTGACCCCCACCCACATCCAGTGAGGACTCGGAGCGCCAGCCTTATACTGAGCCACCGTTTTTGAGCAGATACCCCCCCGTCCCCAGCAGTTTATGGTACAGTCCCCTTACCATAGTCACTGGTCCCAGCAACATTTTCGATCTCGAGCGTCCACTCCCCCCGAGGGTCCTCATCCCACGAGTGTGTGGTCATGAAGGCCCACTCGTTAAAACCCTCTGAGGAGTAATCATGAGGCCTGGGGGAGGGGATGGGGATGGGCGATTGGTTATGGTCTTTTTATATCGATGGAAAAGCACCACTTTAAAATCGAGCAGCATAACAATGCATTCAGCTGGAGGCCAGGATCTGTGGGGCTTGGAGGGGTGGTCCTTCAAAAGGAAGGGCACGTCCCCCGACAACCATAAGCACTAAGCTCTCCGACAGTGATACGTATAAAACTACTACATTTATCTCACAGATAAATGAGGTGTATTAAAAATGCAGTTAGAAACACTTATTTGTGTTGTGCTTAATTTTCTTGAATGAATGAATATTCAACCTTTATCGTTTATGCATCTTCAAAACTCCACCATAGCTGACAGTGAATTCTGGGAAATGTAGTGTATGAAGATGGATTAAATGCGCAGCAGAGGCGAGCCTATGATACAACCTACCTGGGGGCCAGCAGAGTGGAGCGAGTCCCTTGGGGGCTGACCAGGTAGATGGCCAGGTTCCCCCGCCGGTTGTAGGACAAGGTGAGCTCTGCCTGGGCGTGCTCCAGGGACTTCACATAGTTGGGCATCCCAAAGCATGCATCCACGCTCTTCGTGATCACGAGGTGGCTGCCAATATTCCTGCCGCAGCGAGGAAACGCCGACATGTGAGAACATTCACGTGGGTTGCCCAAGGAGAGGCTGGCAGTCGAGGCAATAGGCTGAACACGTCAGCTGCGCTACCGCGTGGAAGGGGAGGGTGTCAAATAGCCCAGGACAATGAGGCCCACACAGACAGGGCTGGGGGGCTGGGGAGTCCACCAGCCTGGCAAAGAATCACTAAATCCCAGTGACACTGAACCAGCAAAAGCAGTTTGGCTTCCAACCCGGAGGGCCTTTGATCTCACTGACTTCTCAGAACCAGCACTAAACTCCAGCTCTGGACAAAATAAACGTGGGGGCTTAGCGGATGCTGCTGTGGGCTTAGAGGCGGGCGAGAGGCTACCAAACCAGTAAACAAAAGAGGAGTGCATGAACGCTATGGTTTCCACCAGCACTTGCTCGCTGTGGTAGAGAGATATGCTCCCTCCAGAGCAAAATAATCTGAGTCACTCTGCTCAGAGCAGCACCACTTAGTTTTCAACAGGCAGCCAAAAAGCCACCTATCACCACACCTAGCACGTCCCTTGAGGACCACTACAGTCTATTTACTTAGTGCTAGGCTGTAAAATTATACATTTATGCTAGTGCTAGCCGAGGCTGTTTTTCTATGCAAATATCAGCACCTTTCAGCATAGATAAAGGCCATAAATCCACGCAGATGAAGTCTGAGGTGGGCAGCACTCCTGGGTTCGGAAGTCTGTACAGATTAGCACAGGGAGCAGTGGGGTCAAGGTGCCAATGGTGCACGCCTGTCATACTCACCGGGGCTCAGACACCATGGAGAGCACGCACTTCTGCTGGGGGCCCACGCTGGTCCAGTTATGAGCCAGGGCCACCATGGCACTGGCATCCAGGAGCCCGTAACCGTAGGAGTGGCTCACTGGTAAGAGAGAGACAGTGATGGAGAGTGCAGCCAGGGATCACAGCACAATGTGTCAATGAAGAAACAAAAGCTCAAAACCCAAGACCACCCTATGGGACCAGCACTTCCATAGCGGTGGTCCCCTGCAGTACCTCTGCGGCCCACGCCATTGGTCTTCCAGTCGCTGGTGGTGAGGTAGGCGGGCCGGGACGTCCGAACCACCAGGTGCTGCATGTCCCTCCAGGTGAGGTTCTTGCTGCAGGGAAACGAGGAGAGTGAGCAGAACTGAGAGCCTGAAACGGGAGGCCATGCTGTCCTCCACAAGAAGGTCACCTTCAGGCTAGCAAAGCCAGACAGAGACAGAGAGATTTAACAAAGGGGAATTAAAGGAAGCGTTTCATAACCATATGCCTCTGTGCTCACGGTGAAAAGCTCACCTGCTCATCGGAGAATAACATGGGGGGGGGGGGGGCGTAACCTCCCCTCCAGTTAAAAACACTCATGCCCTCAGCTTTGTGCCACAAGGCGACACTTCTTCAGATTCTTCTGTTTTTTGTTCCCTTCAACATGACTCTGGCCAGTAGAGGCTGCAGACGACCCCCCCTCCCAATTTCTGTACTTACTTGGCTTCCAGAGCCAATGCGATGATGCCAGCGGCCAGGGGGGCGGAAGCGGACGTCCCTGTGTGCGAGTCTGTGCACTTCTGCCTCAGGTCTGTGGTGACCTGGGAATGACAATGTGATCGTGAACAGCCCCGTCGAAACAGATGACTGGGGGGGGGGGGGGGGGGCAGACCGCGTGGGATGTGGCCATGTAGGAGAAGGCAGGGGCTCAAGAGACAAGAGCCCTGGGGGCAGAATCACCCAGTCAGGACAGGAGCTACAAAAAAAAATATAGAAATGCCAGTATTCCTGGCGACTGAGCTAAGCCCAGGGGCGTGCAACTCAGCTGACGTTCAAAGAAGCACCTTCAGTCCTACTCAAGTGGGCCGATGGGGAAATAATGCAGAAGATGACATCAAAGTCCATCTAAACACTGAAGGATTTCACACTTTTAGGTACGACCCACTTTATTCGGGGGCTATTTAGATAGGGATGAGGAAAGCATCCATAATATACCTCCCAGGGGATTTACGTAACGTGTTCCTACGTAGACCGGAATATTCCATGCAGGGCGGGAAGCTGCAGATGGTTTGTGCAGAGACTCTTCTTCCTAAGGCCACAACCTGCAGCTCCTCTCTGCACAAGGGACTTTTATTTAGAGCACGAGGCTTTAAATAAAGTTGAACCAGCAGCCTTCAGTAGGTCAGAGGTTCCGCTCCGGCAGCAGAAACCCAAAGAGGCCATGGTGCTGGTCTCTGGCCAGGGGGCATACGGCCTAAGGTAGGGGCAGCCGCGTGGTGTGGAACAGGGCACTAGCAGGGCTTATGGTGGCAGGTGAAGCTGGCAGTTTGCATCCCACTCATCGCACACCCGGAGAAGCAGGTGTGGCGGGCCTTCTACGAGAAGCCCTGCAGGCTGCAATACTCACGATCTGCTTCTCGTTGAGGTTGCCGCTGCTGTAGGTGGTGGCCAGCGTGGAGGAGCAGGCCTCGCTGTACCAGGGCACGTTGCCGCTCTGGGTGCTGCTGCTGATGGACAGTGTGTAGATGCTGTTGGTGTAGCCGTCGCAGTTGCAGCTGTCCCTCTCGCGGCCACCGTTGCCCGATGCCCACACGAAGATGGAGCCCAGGCCGCCACGACCCTGTGGGACCAAGGGGGGTGCCGAAAGTCAGGTGGGGACAGGACACTTATGCAGTAACCCCCCCCCCAGAACCATTAGGTCAATTCAGGCATATCATTTCAGTGTGACTTGGCTCATTTCATTACCCCAAGTCTTCCATGCTCAACATTAAGCACAAGCTATAAGGTACAACTCAAGGTCTGCTAAAAATAATAATAATGTGCCAAACATGTAGCGATTTATGCACATTTTGACTAAGACTATACATATTTTAATAGCCTATTAAATGTCACAGTGTTTAAACAACATAAAAATGACCGATGGCTGCCGAGATATGGCTTTGGTTCAAGTTTTTACATCCGTAAACACAGAAGAGGAATAAATTTCCAACCCCTCCCCCCCACTAGAATTTATCCTGTGTGTGTTTATGTGTGAGATTCAGTTTCACCATTTCAACTGACGAAATTGTCGGCTCGAAACGTTGATGGCTCAACCCTTTGTGCAAAAGAAGGCCACGCCCCCCCCATCCCTTTGATCAGACCTAAAGAGAAGCACAGCACCATCAATAAAAGCAAAGAGCGCACGAGCAGCATCCCGTCGGCCTGCCTTCTGATTACACACCTGCCCGAGTATGGGAGGGGCTTAGGGGACGGGGGCGATGTTCCTGTAAATGCTTTCTGCGGGGGAGACTCGGACCAACCTCGCCGCATCTCTCATCCCTCATTATTCTTACACTTGGGAAAACATTTGAACACGAGGAAGTTCATTTTTGTCAGGCACAATAGGGACAATTTCACAAGCAAACAGCCTGACATTAGCCTAATACAAAGTCTGCCATTTCCACCTCTGTAAGCCATCCAGAGGCATTTCCCCTATCAAACCCCTTCAGATTTGTGCTTGTCCTGCTACGAGACCGCACAAAGCCCACTGCACATCTGGCCCAAACCCAGCGGGCAGGTTCTAAGGTCCATAGGTTCTGAGGACGCAATGACCTGAAGTCAACGTGCTTTAATGGCCACAGGACAACCGAAACATCTAGAACTAGTGTTCGGAAACCTTTTAATTGAATAGTGACTTTCAGCAGTAATAATGACTTTCAGCAACAGCTTCTCAAGAGTAAAGTGCTGCCACAAGTCAGAGAACCACTTCAAACTGACATTTCCTTCAAAACACAGAATGTCTTTAAAAAAAAACGCTTTAATATCTTTAGCACCTTAAATTCTTCTCGGGTGACATTTCTCAGCAATTTGAATGACCTGTTGGCAGATTCGCCGCACCACTCAGAAAGAGGGCAGCGCAGTAACATCAGACTAACCTCGATTTTCACGAGGTGTGGTGCCAGACCAAAAATGGCAGCCTTCTGCTAGACTAATAACATCTGGATGACGCTTTTTGTTCGTGTTCTCATTGTTTGTTATGGTGGTCATTCTTTGGGTTTCTGCTATTTAAAGTAAGTCATCAGTAACCAAACTTCAGATTTTTGGAGGACTGTGGACATTAAAGGCAAAGCTGAGAGACTTCGTCCAACCAGTTCTCCCAATTGTAGCACATCATCTCCTCCAGATAAACCCCCTTCCTTTGCAGACCTCAGTGACATTTTATTATCCAATGAAAAACTTTCAACTGTGGATTCCCATATCACGTCGATTGAGCTTCACAAACAGTTCCTGTCTATGTGAGAAAGCCTTGGACTTAGGCAAAAGCAGATTGAATCACTCATGCTTGACAATAAGGCGCTTACTGTCACGGTCAAGATACCTTCTGAGACGTCTAATAACATCTCCTTTCACTGCGTCCACTGAATCGGCAGAGGGAAAACCTACAATAGTCCCCATCCGATTGTTGATAAATTCTAGCGTTTTAAACATAAGGATCTTATTCTCTGTCACGGTAAAGAACTTAAAGGTACTGACTTTGGCCACAATGATCGGTTACGGCGTGAAATAATGGACAGACGCAACACACTATTCAACATCAGAAAAGGAGCCATCGTGAATGGTGAAGCTGTCACCTCAGCTGACAAATCGCACATTGACAGTAAAGCTATATTCCAATGAATCTGACTCAAAGGCTATTCTAGGAAGTCAGACCTTGTTTCCTTTTCATTATTGTCTTCTCTTCATTTGTTATTCATGCTAATATGTATGCTTTAAATACTATAACATCACTATTGTACTGCTATAACGTATCCACTAAGCTTCTCATATATACTGTAGGTAAACACTGCACTTCAGTCTCGCTCCGAATCCCATTTGTCCTGCGGTATGTGGCTTTGCTCATCTTTTATTTTTTTCTTCCCCTGTTCAAGGAATAATTTCTCAGTTCCTGCAATAAAACCAAATCCCCGGTCTATAACCGTACCTGGGTCCCTCTTACACATACATAATGTATACTACTCTGTCACATTTTGCATCCCTCCCAGTGTCTTCATGTCACTGATTTTGTCTGGTTTATATCCATGTCAGCATAAAGACTCATACTTATACATAAAACATTGTCATTTGTACATGAACCCCAGATTTTACTCTGGGCACATCGGCATGTACTTGTGTCTCCGTTTTTTTGTAAATCACACACTGGTGTGTCAATAAAAAAGCAAAAAAATTAGAACTGCCTGGGGGGGCCTTGAGGACCGGGACAGGAAACACCAGCATAGAGGTTCAAATACAAGTGGGACAGGAAATGGCCCCAGTCGTTCGTTTGGGGTGGATTTCTGTACCTCGGTGACGCCGCGCAGAAAGGCTTCTTTGGCCAGCTTGGCGGGGCCATCCACCGTCTTCCCATCATCCTCGGGGCCCCAACTGGCACTGTAAATGTGGATATGCTGGGGATTGAGGCTGAGAGACTGGGCCTCAACGACGTCAGTCACTTCCCCGTCCAGCATGCGTACACCTAGACAAGATTGGGGGGGGGGGGGGGTTACGGCACAAACCCAGAGGCCAAAACAACACATGAACCACACAGGAAAACTGCTGATTAAGGGTCATAGAGGGGCCTCCATTGATTACCAGAATTCCAAGCCTCACACACAAGTTGGTGTGAGACTTTCTCAGATGGATAATTTGAAGTTTAAAGGCTCAAGCTCTGAACGAATTGACGCCTAAAGAGACCACATACATCAAAGCTGTGCATCAACCGGCCTCCATTAAAATGTCCTGCTATGGCGACAAGACACGGATACTGGGTTAGTCTGGCATGGAGCTGCCTGAGCAGACAATGCGGGACCGGGAATTCTGACAAATGAGTCAAGTGCCGGAATTCAGGGCCTGCCCGAGTCGAGTGAGCATGAATGGCGATATCGGAGCTGTAAACGACGGCTTCACATTTTCTAGATATTGAAAATGAACAATCGTTTTGCTAAGCTTGCCAGGTTTTGTTTCCTATGACAGAGAAAAAATGTTTTAGCATAAATTGTCTTAACCCAGCTGACTATTGCAGTTCTTGCCATGCGACAACTGCATGTTCTTAACATGTTGATATTAACATCCAGATTGTGCAGCTCCACCGCAAACTCTACCTGGGACGGGCCTGTCACTCCGCTTCCACACCAGCTCTGCAGGCTGTCTGGGAAGTCTATTGCAGAGCGGTGGTGGCTGGTTGCTTAGCAATCACTACTTCTTGTTAACAATTTAATTAAACCACAAGCTTAGTTATAAGAAGCGGTCACACGTCACCCTCCTTTAGATCATTACAGTCCTATTAGGAGAGATGGCAAGAGATGGACATACTCAATGTACCACATGACAGGAGGGAAAGGCTTATGGTTTAAGTTCTGAGAGTGGAGACAGCTGATTAGATACACAGTATTTAAGCAGGTCTCAGAGAATTACTGTGTTTTTTGTGCGTGAGTGTAACAGGCCTGCTGGGAATTATGCTGCCCTCAAACCTTTGCAAATAGCACCAGGTAAAAGACAGGAACCCCCCCCCCACAAGGTGACAGGCCGAGGGTAAGGAAAGCCGAGTAAATAGGTAGAATGTGGAACCACACTCGTTGACATCACAGGCACATTCATGCAGACACGCTCACAGGCACGCGCCCACACGCACACACAGGCTCACAGGCACGCACCCACACGCACACACAGGCTCACAGGCACATTCATGCAGACACGCTCACAGGCACGCGCCCACACGCACACACAGGCTCACAGGCACGCGCCCACACGCACACACAGGCTCACAGGCACGTACCCGCACACACACAGGCACGCACACACACAGGCACGCACACACACAGGCACGCACACACACAGGCACGCACACACACAGGCACGCGCCCACACAGGCACGCGCCCACAGGCACGCGCCCACAGGCAC